GCCTTCTCGGTCTCCTCCTCCTCCTCCTCCTCCTCCTCCTCCTCCTCCTCCTCCTCCTCCTCCTCCTCCCTCTACAATTAATTACACAATATGAAAATACGCTCCCACTTCCCCTGATGGCGTCCCGAAGATGGCCGACCCCCCCCGCGTATTGTTTTTTTTCACACAGGATTCCCTGGAAACGGGTTTTCGCTTGCGTTTTTTTCTAAATGTTGCTCTCGCGGAGGCGCTGGCCTCATTTCTGCTCCCGAATCGTTCCGAATCGTGCTCCCGCTGCAGCGTGGGCCTCATTTCCGCGCTTCCGCTCGTTCCGAATCGTGGTCCCGCTGCAGCGCTGGCGTCATTTCCCGTGCCATGCCACCGTCGTTCAGGATGGCGTTCTCGCCCCAGCGCGGGCCTCTTTCTCGCGCGCCCATCCGCCCGCCACCACCGCGCCGCACCACCACCACCACCACCACCACCACCACCACCACCACCACCACCACCACCACCAACCACCACCACCACCACCACCACCACCACCACCACCACCACCACCACCACCACCACCACACCACCACCACCACCACCACCACCACCACCACCACCACCACCACCACAACCACGCACACACGCACGCACGCACGCACGTGCACCACCACCCACTACGCACGCGCGCGCGGAGCCACAGGTCCGCTACGACACGCGTCCGCGGATAGAGAAAATCAGCGCCATGGTAAGGGATGGGAGGGAGGGGTAGGACGTCAGATATGACGCGAGCGCTTGTCTCCTCCCCCTCCCCCTCTCCCTCCCCCTCCTCCGAGGCTGCCAACTATGATCGAGGACTCCTGGACCTTCCGAGGGTCCCGAGTAAACAGGCGATGCCGAACCCGAGCCACACGCCGACGGCGGAGTCGATGCCGAGCCAGCCTTCGCCACATCACAGCACCTGCACCGCACTGCACGACGAACCCTCCGACTCGGACAGGCTCCAGCGGCCTTGGGGATACGCTGCCTCCTGGGCCGCCTTGCCACGGCCGTCGCCCTTGACCTTCGCCGCTGCTGCCACTGGCGCCGTCGCAGCCTGCTTAGAGTGTCTCGGCAGCAGGGGCGGAGGTCTGAGCAGCCTCGGACTGGTTGTCGGCCTCCGCCTGCTGCCCTGTGGGTTGGACTCCCCGCGTCCTCCCGAAGCAGCTGGCTCCGCAGCAGCACCTGGCACCAGCAGCGTCTTAATGATCCATCCCCAGGGCGCCTTTTCTTGGTAGACTGGCGCTCCTGCTGGGCCTTGTGGTCGGCCTGCAGGGCTTCCCCCTTTTACTGCGTACGCCACCGAAGAAGTTAACGGCCATGCGTTTGAACGCCACGATCAGTTGCCTTTTGCGTTCCGTCGGTTTGTTCCGGAGCTGATGGGTCCTAACCCTCGATCTCGGCGATACCGAAGAGCCCGTCGTCGTCCAGATCAATGTCGTCGAGTTCGCCGCTCACGTGCCGTGCCCCAAGGTGATCTTGACAGGCCCGCTGCCCCTGGGAGCCCCGACGACAGCAGCGACCTCCTCCGCTGCACTCTTGCACTCGGCCTCCGCTGCTTCGAGCTCGTCCACCAGCTCCGCCACCAGCTCCCTCCGGGTTCCGCCTGCTGCAGGAGGTCGTCGAGCGCCGCGCTCTCCGACGCAAGCCGCCCGTGCTCGTCCGTACTTTGGCGCCGTCCTGGCTGGAGAGGGCTTGAACAAGTTTCTCTGACAGTCTTGTTGGCTTGGCCAACGACACCAACTGCTGGCGATACTTCTTTCTCGTAGCTGGCCCATCCGATTTCTCAGCCACTTGAACCATTGACAACAGTTTCTCTCGCGACACAGTTGTTGACTGGAGCTTCGTCTGGGACTTGGCCAGGGTGGCCGACTTGCACTTCGCAGCCATGTTTGTTGTATCTCCCTTGGACCCCGCGAAGACCACAAGAGCCTGCATGGCGACGACGTCGAGCTGATCGTGAGGCTTTGCGCCACTGCCAGGGCCGCGCGAAGGACGACCCTTAGCCCAGGGCGGCTTCTCGTCGCCCCCCTGACTTCGCCCTCCCGCAGTACGGGAGGTTCTTTGCGCAGTCGACAGGCGGCATGGCCACATCGCCAACCGTCTCTCTCAGGCTGCCTGGGCGCTGAACGTGACGGTCTGCGCGCACCAGCACCCGCTTTGCCACGGCCTTCGCGACCAGCAGCACCCGCCATGAGACGAGGTGACGGTCTCCGTGACGGGCGCTGAGCAGGCGCCTGACCTGAGCAACGGCGGGCACCGATCGGGCTTGGGCCCGCCTCCTCCGCAGCCGCCTGTGCCAGGCAGGGGGTGGCGAGGGCCCGCGGCGCGCGCCCCCCGTTGGAGGAAGAACAGAACGTGCACCGCCGCCCGCTGAACACAGGCGAACGGCTTGGGTTTCGCAGGTAACGGGCGGCCCCAGCTGCCCGAGCGCAAAACGCCTAGGAGGAGGACGGGTCGGGGCAGGAGGAGGAGGAGGAGGAGGAGGAGGAGGAGGAGGAGGAGGAGGAGGGAGATGGAGGCGGAGGAGGAGGAGGAGGACGAGGAGGAGGAGGAGGAGGAGGAGGAGGAGGAGGAGGGAGATGGAGGCGGAGGAGGAGGAGGAGGAGGAGGAGGAAGAGGAGGAAAAGGAAACGCCCGATTGCTTTTTCAGATTCGATGTCCTGCTGGGCGGGGGGCGCCGAGGTGTGCCGACTGCCTCTCCCTTCCATCCAGACCAGGACCCGCGGGCGGAGTGCTTCTGCCAGGTGGCCCGCAACCCGGGGTGCAGCGGGAGGCCCCCGGGGGGGTGGGGTCCCGCCGCTCTTTGAGGGGAGGCGGGAGGCGCGAGGAGGGGCTGCTCATTGGGCTGCTCGAGTGGTGAAGGACCCCTCGGGGCCGAGACCGCCTCACCGCGAGCGCCACCACCCCGAGGGGCGCAAGGGCCAACGCAGTCGGGGTCGGCGGGCCAGCGCCCCAGGGGAGGAGGCGGGAGGAGGGAGGCGGGAGGCGGGAGGCGGGAGGCGGGAGGCGGGAGGAGGTAGGCGGGAGGCGGGAGGCGGGGCGCGGGAGGCGGGAGGAGGGAGGCGGGAGGCGGGAGGCGGGAGGAGGGGCGCGGGAGGCGGGAGGAGGGAGGCGGGAGGCGGGAGGAGGGACGGGAGAGGGGAGCCAGCACGGTATCGCTGGACCTATGGTCATGAATTTCTGGTCAGCTCATCGCACCGCTGGTTCTGGCCCACCACGCGACGCGCTATCCATGGCCCAGCAGTCCCCAAGCTACAACGTCCCCAGCCTTTCCCAGCCTCTCGCCTCGCGAAGCGGAGCGACACACTAATCATCCGCTCGCAGGGCATAGCCTGTCGCCAGGGCCGCCGCGGCGACACGCAAAGCAAAAGTTCCTGACCGTATCCCCACTTCCAGTGGACCACGGTTCTTTCACGCCGACTACCGCCTCTAGGTAGGGGTATGTGCCACGGATGCCGCCCGATGTTGCATACGTATATGTATAACGGGGGGCGGGACAGGGTCCAGGGGACCCCGGGCTGGAGCCTGGATCACAAATGAGAGTTCCGAGGCCCCCAGGGGTCCCCCAGCACATGCCAAGACAGCATCGAAACGGTTCCCGACGCCACCACACGTTCCAGATGGCCCGGAGATGGTCACAAAGACCCCCAAGACGCCCCCCAGACGCCTCTGAGACAGCCCCAAGCGGCTTCAAGAGGCTCCAAAGCGGCTGCCCAGAGATCCGAACGAGGCCACAAAGTGCTGTAAACAATTCAAGGGGAGCTCGACCTTGTCGAAGGTGTCGCCGGTTCGCTTCCGAAGAGCGTCTGAGGCCTCCAGAAGGCGCCGCCATGGGCTTGGGAGAGCTCCGCGAAGAGCTTCCGAGAGCCTCCAAAAGCCCAACGACGGTCCCAACAGCGCCCACGAGCCATGGAGGAGGGCCCTCAGAGAGCCCCCCGGGCAGCGCAGGGCGTCCCCCAAACGGATCCCCACCTCCTCCCACTCCTCCTCCTCCTCCTCCTCCTCCTCCTCCTCCTCCTTCTCCTCCTCCTCCTCCTCCTCCTCCTCCTGCTCCACAGCTACACAATATGAGTACTACTCTCCTCCATCCCCTGATGGTGTGCTGAAGATAGCGGGCACCCCTCCGCGTATTGTTTGTTTACACACATGATTTCCCGGAGTTGGGTTTTCGCTCGTTTTTTTTTCAAAAAGATGCTCTCGCTGAGTCGCGGGCTTCATTTTCGGGCTTCCGCTCGTTCCGAATCGTGCTCCCGCTGCAGCGCTGGCCTCATTTCCGTGCTTCCGCTCGTTCCGAATCGTCCTCCCGCTGCAGCGCTGGCCTCATTTCCGCGCTTCCGCTCGTTCCGAATCGTGGTCCCGCTGCAGCGCTGGCGTCATTTCCAGTGCCATACCACGGCATGCAATGCTAGGTTGCGTTCCGCTGCACGATGCCATGCCTTCAGCTGCAGCTGTCATATCCAGTGCGTAAGTGCCACGTCATGCTATGCCATGCTACGCTTTGATCTTCAACGCCATGCTATGCAATGTTTTGTTCGGGGCCGCTGTGCGATGCCATGCTTTGCGTTGCAAGGCTTTGTGATGCAATTCTTCACTACGCCACGCCACGCCATGCTGTGACATACTACGCTTTGCGGTGCTCTTCTACGCCATGCCATGCCGTGCTCTACAATGCATCGCGTACCCTTTCGGGATCATTGCCCTGCTCAACATCCGACTGTGCGAGTAGAGAGGGGATCTACGCCATGGTAAGGGATGGGAGGGAGGGGTAGGATGTCAGATATGACGCGAGCGCACCTAGCTTGTCCTCCTCCTTCTCCTCTGCCTCCTCCTCCTCCTCCTCCTTCTCCTCCCGCCTCTTCCTTCTCCCCCGCCTCCATCTCCCTTCTCCTCCTCCTCCTCCTCCTCGTCGCCCGCCTCCATCTCCCTCCTCCTCCTCCTCCTCCTCCTCCTCCTCCTCCTCTTCCTCCTCCTCCTCCTCCTCCTCCTCCTCCTCCTTCTCCTCCAGGGCGTCAGACAGGCCACAAGCGCCCTGGGAGAGCCCAACACGATCCCAAGGAGCTCCCTGGGATGCCAAAAGCTTTGGACACCAATGGAAAACGCGCTGTCTTCGAAGATCTCCCCTGCGCGCTTCCGCAGAGCGTCTCCGCCCTCTGCCAGGTGCCCCCGCGGGCTCCATGGGCCCAACAAGCAGCCCCCCCAGAGTCCCACGACAGCCCCGACGGCGCCCCAGAACCCCCGCAGACGGCTCCGAGAGAGCCGCCGAATGGCTCAGAGAGTCCCTCAGCATGTTTCCCGAGGGCGCCCGACAAGCCACGAACGCTCTGGGACAGCCCAAGACGCCCCATAGAAGGCCCTCAGGTCCAGCACAGCCGCCAACAGGCCCCCGAGCGGCTTCCCAGCGAGCGCGCCGCCAGGGCCGCCGCCGCGACACGCTGCGCTTAAGTTCCCGACCGTAGGTTTTCGGGCTCACCCGCGCGGAGTCCAGAGGCGAGGGCCGCTGGCTGCACTGCTGGAGTGCATCCTGGGCCAGTCGCACATTGATGTCGTCCTCGTCGCAGCGTTGTGCCGTCTCTGCATCCCCTGGGCCTCGCGGTGCGCAGGAAGGCGCCGCAGCTGGAGCCCTCGCGCCGGGTGTCGCGAGGCGTCCTGGCCCGAGGTGTCCCCAGCTCGTCGCGCCATGGAGCGCTGATGGTTTCGGGTATCTTCGTCGGGCCTCGGCGGTCTCCCAGCCTCGGGGGGGCCTTCCAGCAGCCGCGCCTCGCCGGGAGCGGCCACCAGAGACCCGAGCTACGGCTTGAAGGCCAGACCCCCATTCCGAGGCGGGAATCAATCCATAACCACCGCCTGGGGGATCGATCCTCGCGGACCTCCACGGGCGGTGGATATGGATATACACGGGCCCCCCGGGGGCCAAAACTATATCCATATCCACCGCCCGCTGGGACACCAGGACGTCGGTGCCCAGCCGGTGGGTAGGCATACATCCCCGCCGCGCACCCATTCTGGACGCCCGAAATGGGTACGGAAAGAGTGGGTACAATGCCCAACAGCAGCTCCTGTTCACTTTGAACAGGACTCGCTGTCCGCGCCGCCGCGGCCTGTGTTCATTCGAGACAGAAGGCCGCCTGCCCAACAGCGGCCGCTGTTGGTTTGGGACAGCATCTGTTGTTGGGCATTGTGCCCATTCTTTCCGTACCTATTTCGGGCGTCCAAACCCATGGCCCCAAGCTTGTGACACTCAGGAGGGAAAGAAACACACAGACACAATTAATCGTCGACTCCCAGGAAAATATGCAAAAATATGGGAAGTGGTGGGGAAGACAAAAACCCAGAAAATATAGGAAAATATGGGGGATATTTTTATTTGTGTGTATTTATTTGTGTGTTCCAGTTCCCCTTCAGACACGCAAGGGGCACTTCGCCGGAGCGGCCTGTGGCGAGGGCGCGGAGGGGCCCAGGCCCACGCGCGAGGCCCCCACGTCGGTGAGGGGCCCTTGGCGCGCGGCTCGCCGATCGTTGCGTCTGCAACGAGCGGCGAGCCGCGCACGACACGTCCCGCTTGTCCAGGGCCAGTCTGGCGTGCAGCCGACCAGATGGCCCCCGGGAGGTCTCAGCACCTTCCCCTGTCCCCCCCCACGGCTTCTCCCCCCTCGCACTGGGACCAAGGACCTGCAGGAGGTCTCAACACCTCTCCCTGCCCCACCCCCCCCCCCCCTTCTCCTCTTCCCGCGTGCTGGGGTAGGGAGGCCGCCTGCCTGGGCTGGGGTCTTGTGCTCGCTGCCCCCCCCCCCCTCCCCCGCGAGGCGATGCAGCTGCACCGTGGCCTGCCCCTCCGACGAGGCGAGGCTCTTAGCGACATGCCATTGTTGAGAATACAGTGGAGACCCATTCCAAGAAACACCCTGTTTGCCTCCAATGCCCTGGGTTTCTTGGGTGTCGCTGGTGTTGCTGTGGAAAGCGCGACGTCCCCACACCAAACATCAGTGGACGTCCTGATGTCTCAAGGTTGCGCTTCTTGTGGAAGGTTTCTTGTGGACTTGCCTCCATTGTAGAGGGGGGAAAGCTTTTGGAGGAGGAGGAGGAGGAGTTTTCAGAGCGTGCAGAGTGCATGGACGAAGTCCATCGCGGAACATTGAAGCCCAAGTGTGCCCCAGATTTGAGAAGAGGATCTCTGTCGTTGTTTGCCCCCTATTCCTCGCCCGCGCCTCGCTGGACTCCCGCAGACGAGCATGGTGGCCACAGCTTCCTCCACGCGCGGGACCCCCCAGCACGACGTACAACGCTGCAGCTCGATACAGCCCGCATGGGGGCACAAGCCCTGGGCCTCAGCACGTTCCCGAGACCCTCGGCGTTGGCCCCGCCGCCGGTCCGGTAGAAGCACGGGCAGAGAGCGGGGCACCGAAGCCGCCCCCCCTCCTGGGCGCGGAGGGATAACTTAGCGGGCGAAGAACGGTATAGGTAAGGTAAACTTTTCCGTCGCCGGGGGCGCTGCCCCAGGGCGGCTGGAAATTTGTCACCTGGACGTGCCGCCGTACGGGTATAAACTTCCAGCCGCCCTGGGACAGGCGCCCCCGACAGCGAAACAGTTTATTTTGTACCGTTCCTCGCCTGTCAAACTTCCGCGCTCCGCGCGCCTCCTCCGGGAGCGCGCGACGCGCAAAGAAGTCGGGGGGACCTGGGGACCGCCCCCTGCTCTGCCTCGGCGGCGAGAGCGAGAGGGAGGGGGGGCGGAAGCGAGGAGGAGAAGGCCTCCGCAGCAGGCGGCGGCACTTCTCGGGAGCCCATCGCACCTTCCGAGAGTTTTTGTTGGCCTTCGGGGGAGGCCGTCGCCGCCGCCGACCAGCGATCCGATGCCCCCCTGCCGGGCCCCGCCGACCCACGAGGGGCGCGCCCGCCCGGGGGGGGGGGGGGCGCGCCCGCACACCCCCGCTTGGCAGGCCAGGGACCGACTGCCCCATGGAGCAGCCACGGGTGCCACCCGCAGCGCGCGGGCGAGGCTCAAGTCGGGCCTGCCCCTCTACAGGAGGAGTGCTCAACCATAGTCAAACAAAGAGTCTGGGGACGATCTTTCTTATGTTTGACAGTTGTTGAGTTTTGTTCCGTTTCCTTTTTATATTTCGTCCAAGTCCGGGGGCATGCCCGACCTGAGGCGAGGCACCTCCTGCGCGATGGCCTCGCGCAGTCCCAGGGGTCAAGGCGCGCCTGTCTCTCTCTACAGGAGGAAGACTCAAGGACAGTAAAAACAAACAGTCAGGGGGCGATGTTTCGACCATTGTTTGACTATGTTTGGGTATGTTTTGGCTATGCTTCATTCGTCTTCCAAAATCCGCCAGTAGGAGGATATGCCCATCCGTGTCGGAGATCTCCAGAGCATGCGCGGTCTGCCCAGACCCCCTCGGGCCATGAGAAAATGATGACGCGAGTTTTTTTCCTAATTTTAGGCCTCTGGGGGCCCTTACCGGGCCTCGGGACCGTCAAAAAACGACCCAGGATGAGAAACGGGTCCTGGGGAATGGGCCGAGAACTCTTGGGGTCGACGTAATGACAAAATCACGACGTCGGCGGCTTGGTTGCCCTGCCACCTCTGCTGCCAGCATCATTCGGGAGGAGAGGGAGGGTTGGCTGGGCTAGCTGGGCTGGCGGACGCCCCAGCCGTGGGGTACCTGCGCCAGCACGTCGGCGACCGCTCAGCGAGCCATCCGGTCAGAGGCCCGCGTCCGGGCAAGACGGCGCCACGCGCCGCGGGCCTGGCCCCCCCCCCGCGACCGGACGCGCGCAGGGGCGCCCCGGCTGGGGACCGCAGCCCGGCCGGCCACAGCCGCCGATGATGGGCAGGTGCAGCCGCGAAGCTTGGCGCCGCGCCCGGCAGCGGAGCCCGGGGCCTGGCCAGGCCGTCGTCGTCAGCCACCTCTGGGGCGGTCTGCTCAGGCTGCGCCAGGCTTGGGGGCCAGGTCGCCAGCTTAGCTCGAAAGGGCCCTCGTCGGCCCTGAGCCGTTGGCCTTGCCTCTGCGGGTGCGGATGCAGGCCAGCTCGCAGCCGCTGGCGCGTGTTTGCCAATCTGGTCGCCTCGGGGCCGTCGCACGGACCCAGCAAGATTCCTCTGCCGTTGCGCGGCAGTTTCGCGGTAGCCCCGCCGCAGTCAAGCAGTGGCGAACCGTCTCAATCTGCTTCTAGGCCCACCGAGGAACATGTTAACAACATTCGGTGGTTTGCACAACATGTTTTCACAACAGTTATGGCGGAGGACGTCTTGTTTTATTAGCACGTCGTTTGAGTGCCGCGGAAGGCCTACGATAATGCCAGGACGGTCGGTCCTTGCTCAAATCAGGTCCGTGTTGCCATGCTGTGGCCCCTCAGCCTCAACGGCACGGCCTGGACGGCGTGGCCACAGCGCCGACTCACGCCTCGCCTGTGGCATTACCGGCCGCGTTGCCAGGCGCCTGTGGGGTTGCAGTGCCGCCGCCGCCAACGTCGCGCTGATTGTTGTCGTCCCCTGAGATCCGACGCCGCGAGACAAGTTGCGACATGATGAAACATCACGACCGGACCTCTAGATACACATACTTTCTGCGCCATAGTTCGAGCGGGATCGATTCGTGATGGCGACAAGGCCTGGCGCGGAAAAATTGAGACGCCAGGTTCTCAGGGTCCCCCGCGCCCGCGCCCGGCGCGCAGGCCCACGGGGCCGCTGGCCTCCGCTTCCTGCGGGTGCGCATGGAGGTCCCCCAGCCGATGCGCCTGCTGCCTCGCCAGGCGCCGGCGCGACGGCGAGGAGGCGCGCTTCGCCACCACGGCCGTGCTCTCCGCGTCGGGTCCGGCGGTCCGCCGCGGCGTCCCCACCGCTCCGCCAGCCCGCCGGGCGGCTCGCTGCTTGCTGCGGCATTCTCCGCGAGGTGCGCCTTGATGATCGTTTTTTAATTCGTTGCTTTGCCGATCGGCGCGGGCCCTCGCACCCCTCCCCCCCCCGTTGGAGTAGATCTTGCCTGTTTTGGGGCGCCTGCTTCGAGCGGGTGGAGCCTCCCCCCATAGGACGCATTGCTGCCAAAAGTCGCACTAAGCAGAGATCCGAAGCCAGGCCCCCCCCCTCCCAATGTCGAAACGCGGTAAAAAAACATACGCCCACTCGGCCTTCACCACCTCCGTGTTCTGGTCGCTCCTCGCGGCAAACCAGGCTGTGTCCAGAGGTGCCGCCGCATGTTGGCTTCGAGCAGTGGCGAACGCACGGCCACCTCGCGTGCACCTCGCCGTCGTGCCCCTTGCAGTCGCCAGAGTGCGGGCGTAGCTGGAAGTGCCCCTGGCCCGAGGTGCCCCCAAGATTCTCAAGGAGGCCCCCCACGGCCTCCAGAGCACCCCTCGCGAGGCCCAGAGAGCCCCAGGGGCCCCACAACTGAGCGAACCCCCCGAAGAATAGACCTTGAGGGGGCCTTGCGCGAGCTGTGCCAACACCTTGAAGGCGTAGTCCTCTCCACCAGTGGCGTCATGCAGCGGCGCCTCCGCCAGCGGCGCGACGCCGCACACCACTCCTGTGGTCTCCTGGTCGTTGTTGAAGGCCACAATGGGCCTTGCGGCTCGTCTGAGGGCGCCGTCCTCCACGTCGAAAGCGATACCGTCAACGACGACGTCGCCCGAGAAGCAGGCTCCTCCTGCCCGCGTGGACCTTTGGAGGTTGTGGGCTTCTGCATCCTCCGACCTCGTACAGCATTGCTGCGAGGAGGGGGAGGAGCAGGAGGAGGGGGGCAAGGGGGAGGAGGGGAGGGGGAGGAGGAGGGGAGGAGGAGAGGGGAAGGGAGGGAAGGGGAGGAATGGGAGGTGAGAAAGAGGGGGAGGAGTGGGAGCTGAAGAGGGAGCTGAAGAGGGGGAGGAGGGGGACTCATGAGGGTGTTTGGCGAGGAGGGCGAGGGGGAGGGTGGAGGGAAATGAGGAGGGACGGATGATCAGGAAGGGGAGGAGGGGAGGTGGAGGGCGAGGAAGAGGTGGGCGATGAAGAGGAGGAGGAGCAGGAGGGAGGAGGAGAAGGAGCAGGAAGGAGGAGGTGGAGGAGGAGGAGGAGGAGGAGGAGCAGGAAGGAGGAAGAGGTGGATGAGGAGGAGGAGCAGGAAGGAGGAGGAGGAGGAGGCGGAGGCGGAGGTGGATGAGGAGGGTGGTAGCTGAAGGGCGGTGGGCGTATCCAAGGAGGGATCAGAGAGGGCCGCTGGCGGCGGAGGGGCGGCGGAGCGGGAGGCCAGGCCCTGAAGTCCAGGCGTCTGTCCGGCGGCACCCGAACTCCGTCAGCTTCGTCGGCGAGAAGACTGCGGCCGGCTGCTCGGGCCATCGGGGAAGAAACGAGCGGCGTAAACATATGCTTACGGAAGGTTCATGCGGCGATGGCGCGTTGGCGACACCAGCGAAGCCGTTAAAGGTTGAAATCTGCGACGCGGATGCACCGATGGGCACGGTAATGCCATTGGACCCGACTAGATTCAACCTTGAACAATCGGGGCCGCGATCGATTCAAGATTGAACGATCGACGCGGTGTCAAAAACCTTCGCGCGCGCCGACGCCGCACGAACCTACCGTAGGGGGCCACATCCTTGTTCCTTATTATTATATACCCCCACCTACCTCGTATTCCGGCCGATAGCGACCCCATCCGGGACCTCCCATCCGGACTGTAAAAAATCAATACGAAGTTGCCGTTTTTCTTCTCAACATCGTCTTTCTTGTCGTCGACGATGCGAAAAGCGTGGCAGGAATGGGACGCGGCGCACATCGCGCGCGGCAGTCAATTTGGGCCCGCCCATCCTGACGGTAAGAAATCGATACAAAGTCTTCGTTTTTTTTCTCAGCATGGCCTGCCTTGTCGCCGACGGTGCGAAATATGTGGCAGCAATGGGACGCGGCGCACATATGGGACGCGGCGCACATCGCGCGCGGCCGTCAATCCGGGCCTGCCCGTCCTGCCTGTAAAAAATCGATACAAAGTCTCCGTTTTTTCTTCTCAGCATGGCTTACCTTGTCGCCGACGGTGCGAAATATGTGGCAGGAATGGGACGCGGCGCACATCGCGCGCGGACGTCCATGCGGGCTGCGGGCCCTCCCATCCTGATTGTAAAACAACAATACAGAGTTGCCGTTTTTCCTTTCATCATGGCCTGTCTTGTCGTCGACGATGCGAAATGCGTGGCAAGAATGGGGCGCGGCGCACATCGCGCGCGGATTTCTGGGACAACCCCAAGGCGGGAGGGGCCACCTTATTTGTCAGAAACAATGCCATGCTGACTTTCCCTGCCCACGTAGCTGTTCTTGTCGACACCCCGCAAAAGTGCATGGCCAGAATTGGGCGCGGCACACCCCCTTCCCCCCCGCTCGAAGTGAATGAAATGACCTTCCCGCTTGGGCGCCGAGCGAAATTTTCTCAAAGTTGCGCTCCCGCTTTGGCTCGGCGCACGTTTTTCGCTCGCCAATTTATTGGGCGCCGGGGCGTTCCAGGAGGCCCTGGGGTGACGAATGCCTGGGAGGTTTCTGCTTGTTCAGGCTCTTGGAGGGCCTCCTGAGGCTCCCCGCGGTTTTTTGGCGGCGTCTTCGGCCGTCTGGAGGCAATCTTGGGCGTCTTGGAACTATCTTTCGGCGACTCAGGGCCCCTCGGATCGTCTCGGGGGCGTCTCGGCTCTCTTGGGGCGTTCCTGGGGCGCTCTGGGACCTGGAAGTCAGCGCCGAAGAAGAAAACCATCGCTGGGACCGACGTGCCCAGAACCTGCTCAGGGTTCTTTTCGTCTGGGGGCCCCCAGGGGCCGCCCCCCGCGCGCGCAAACAAGAAGATTGTTAAATAATTACTGGAGATCTTAGCACGCCTCTGGCCCGTTGGGCTGGCCTGGGACCTGCTCGGGGTATTTTTCGTCCGGGGGCCCACAGGGGTCGCCACGCGGGCGCAAACTAGAAGATTGTTAACTAGTTACCGGATATCTTTGCACGCCTTTGGCCCGTTGGGCCGGCGAATTTGTCCCAAGCCTTTCTGAGATCTCGACCCCTTTCTCGGGAGCAGTTTTGCGTCCTGGATATTTTCTCATTGGTCCGGGGGGCCAGAAATTGTTCCCTGGAGGGCGAAGTCGAGGGAAAAACGTGCGAAGTCGACGGAAAAACGCCAGAGCCGCGAGAGCTTCCGAGGAGCCTCGAAGCCCGAACCGGGAGGGCCCGTCGCGGCGGCACGGCGCCGGCGCCGCCCACAGGTCATGGTCGGCGGCGCGCCGAGGTGGAGTGTTTCAGTGAGGTGCTCGAAGTTTGCGCCTCGAGCATCGGTGTTCGAGTCTTTCTGGCCCTCGGGGTCTTCTTCTAAGTCACGGCTGGACGCGACTCGAAAAAATAGTGCGTTTGGACCCGGGAGGGGTCCGAAGGCTTCCTTCGGACCGGATCTGGATTTGGGGGTACGGCGAGGGGGAAGACAGCAGCCTGTCCGTTGCCTCGAGAATCGGTGTTCGAAGCTTTCTGGCCCTCGGGGTCCTCCTCTAAGTCACGGCTGGACGCGACTCGAAAAAGTTGTGCGTTTGGACCCGGGAGGAGTCCGAAGGCTTCCTTCGGAACGGACTTGGGGGGTTTAGGGGTACGGCGAGGGGGAAGACAGCAGCCTGTCCGTTGTGCCATCATTGTTTCTTATGTTGTGGGAGGGCGGGTGGGAATGGGCATGCCATGCTTGACTCGCTCGAGCTGGCTAGCTCGATTCGAACCCTACCCCTACCCCCCACGACTTCTGAGGGACAGGGTGGGGCTCACTTCGCTCGGGAGCTCCCGGTCGAAGTGAACCCCACCCTCCCCCCCAGACTGCGTGGGGGGTAGGGGCAGGGGTAGGGTTCGCATGTACCCCCCTAGCGGTGGGGGGTGCGGGTTAAGGAATGTGCCCGGGAGGCTTCAGACCCTTGGGGATTCCTTGTCTCATGAGGGCGGCGGTGGTATCCATGGCCATCCACGACTGGAGCCCCACTGGCTTCCAGACCCTGGATTCCTCATTCGATGGTTCCTCATCCAATGCCCTCACCGTCAATTTTTGGCGCTCCTCGCGGATTTCTTGATTCCGCGCTGGGCCCCCCTTGGCGACTCCTCCAGCGCCGCCCCTGGCGCGCTCCGCGCGCCAGGGAGGGGGCTCCAGCGCAGATCCAAGAGACCCGCGCGGAGCGCCAAAAGTTTATGTTTACGCAGCTGTTTCTTCTTCTAGGCAAGGCCACCTCGATCGTCACGGTCTCCAAGTCCTACCTCACGAACCTGGAGGACCTCAAGAACACGTGCCCAGGCACCGACTCGACGAGCAGCGGCATACGGTTCCCGGGGGGCGTTCGCTGGGCCCTGGGGCCGTCGGGACACGACCCCGGATGCGAATCCGGCCCAGGGGAATGGCTCGAGACCTTTGAGGATTGACGCTTCGGAAGAAAAGAACACAAACCAAAAAACATGACGTCGTGGCAGGAGCGTTTGCTGAGCGAGGGCAGGTCGTGCTGCCGGTTCTGGCCCACCACGTCTCGGCGCGGCGCTGAGCACTTCCCAGTCCCCAAGCATCGACGTCCTGAGCTTCTCCCAACCTTCCGTGCCACGAAGCAGAGCGACACGGCATCAGCTTGCAGTGCGTAGCGTATCGCAGGAGCCGCCGCCGCGGCACGCTGAGTCTCTCACCGTAAACATGTTTTTAGGAGGTTCGCTCGAATATTACCTGGTCCAGCGCCGACCCCTCCAGCAGACCCAGGACTAGGATTAATCGCTCCAGAGCGTTCCGGAAAGCTCTCCGAGCTTTCTGGGACTCCCGCGGCACTTGGCTCATCTTCCAGACCCGCTGGTTTTCCGAGATTTCCAGTTTATTATCATTCGATGTATCTATATCTTACCTTCGTCTAATCCAGCGCCGACCCAAGAACTCTGAGGGGACCTTCGAACTGTTATGCCTTTGCGGTTCTGAGGCAGGATGACGGACCTCATCGCCGAGATGTTGCGGGGTGGTTTCCAGGTCTACCAGCAAGCCGTTGGTCCAGGCTCTCCCTTGTCTTCCTCGTCGTCGTCATTCGCCTCCTCTTCGTGCGCTCATGGACCATGTCAAGCAACAAGTGGAGTTGTACCAACCAGCCTCTATCAGTATTCGTCGTGTGCTTGTGCGGCCCTCTGCGACCCGTCCCTGCTACGAAAGACGCCCAACATATGCACATCATCCTCCGCCTTCTCCGCTTTCTCATCCTCTATGTCGTCGTCCTCGTGCCTTCTGCTTCACTTCTTTTCTCCTCCTCCTCCTCCTCCTCCTCCTCCTCCTCCTCCTCCTCCTCCTCATCATCATCATCATCATCATCATCATCATCATCATCATCATCATCATCATCATCCCTAAGCTCTTCGCAAACAAACCGTATCCAGCTACCGACGACAAACTACGGCATCGTGCCAGAGCAGCAGCGCGTCAGGGAGGAGGTTGAGTTTAAATCCCGCTCCATGTCGGCACGCTGTCTGAACTGGCGTGGGTCTGAAGCATTCTCTCCTCGTCCGTAGCCTCGCTCACCTCTTCATTACTCGCTCTCCTGCTACGCATACTGGACGCGTCTTGGATGCTGCTTCGAGGCCCTTTCGGGTGTCTCCTGGGACCATCTTGGGCGCCTCTTGGGGGCTTGTCGGGGCCCCTTTGGGGGTCTCGGCGCCGTCTTGTGGGCGATGTTGCTGCCGAGCTCTCTCCAAGAGACACGGTTGATCCATCTTGGGGGCACCTCGGCGGGTCTTGTGACCGTCTTGGGGCCATCTTGGGCCGTCTTGGCGGGGTCTCGGACGGTCCTGTGGCCGTCTTGGCGTCTTGGGAAGGGCCGGCTGGGGCTCTCCGAAGCTCCCCGAGGCGATCCGAAGCTGGAAAATTTATCGCAAGCAAGCATTAAGTCGGACATGTTCCTCTACAGGAGGACTTCTCACAAAATAGTAAAAGAAATAGTCAGGGGACGAATCTTTGACTATGATCGTCTATCGCTGACTATTTTTGAATATTGCTTGACTATTTTTCGTTTTTCCTCCAAAATCCGCCTGTAGGAGGACGTGCCCGACCTTAAGCAAGCACGATTGATTCCTCCTCATGTATTGTTTGCATTCGGCCTCTCTGGGTCTCGTTGGGGCACTCGTTGGGCGTCTTCTCGGGGCCAATCGGAATCTTTTGGGGACAGCTTGAAGCATTTTGGAGGAGCCTTGCGGTCTGGAATTATCTCGCCCCGGTCTTAGGACAATCTTGAGCCGCTTGAAGCCGGAAGGGGTGCCGGGAATCGAAACTAGGGGGTGGTGCTCTAAAAGGTTCGTCGTTCTTTAGCTCCTTCCACGGTTTTTCTTCTAGCGCTTCTCGTGCACCCAATCGCTGTTGGGGCCAACACAGGGCTTCGTTCCTTATTTAGCGCGATGCTTTCGGTAGTAGTTTGACTATGCCATGTGAGTAGGAAGCAGGGGCATTCCAATTCTCTACCAGGGAGCTGGATACGTACGCATGACGCGGCTAGCCTGGCCGAGAGCTGGATACACATCCGGCCGCATGTCTTTCCAGCGCTCAGCCCTTCTGTGACCATGCACGCCACTCTTTCGCATCCAGATGTCCCACATGTGAGTCTAGCCGCGTGCACTTCCAGCTTTCTGATGCTTCTCCTCCTCGCTCCTCCCTCCCTCCCTCCCTCCTCCTCTTGGCCTCTCCTCTCCTTCCTCCCTCTTTTGGCCTCCCTCCTCGCTTTTTCCCTCCATCCTCCCCCGCCTTCCGCCCTCGAGCCCCCTAGATCTTCCTTGGGCTCACCCAAAGTATTCCAGAGTCTCATGCCCCTGCTGCACCTCTTGCCGCTCCTCCTCGTTCTCCTCCTCCCCAGCCTTTCCCTCCTCTGCCTTCCTCCCCTCCTCCTCCCTCTTCCCCTAACGCGGACCGCTACTCCTGCTCCTCCTCCTCTTCCGATGTCATTTCTTCCGGACAGAGTCCACCCTGGACCTCTCCCTTGAGCGCGGATCCACCGGTGGCCACGAGGGCTCTCTCGAAGGCCAAGTGGGGGAGGAGGGGGATGAGGCATTTCCTGTGCTGCGTGAGCGCAGTTTCACGGGGCACGCTGAGCCGCGCGCGTGTCCACTGGCGTGCGAGACGACAGTCGGGCGCTTGAGAGCCCTCTCCCTCTCGCTTGCGGCCGGCGGTCCACTGCAGCTGGCAGGTCTCGGACGGCCGGCGCAAGGTGGCAGCACGCGTGCACGGCGGATGGCAGAGATGGCAGAGCAAATGATACGCACGGTGGGAACTGCGCCCCTGGATGAGCGGGTCTCGCACCGCCCCAACGCGAGGTCCTACACCCCCCCGTGTCGTAGCGGCACCGTGCCGAGGCGGCGGAGAGTCGTCCCACGCGGCCGCCGTATCCGCCGGCGTACAAGCTGCAAGGGCATGCTGGGCTTGACATCACTCACAGAGGACACGCGGAGGAAGGTCCCAGTAGTGAGGCCCTCGGACGAGCTAGAGCGGCACACGACGTTCTCCAAGTGTATCGCATATCC